TATTCAAAAACATTGAAATATTGATGAACAGAAATCACTGTTATTTACTTAGGTGGGAAAATGCATGCAAATAAAAGTGTTCAGTTTAATTATCTTTGACTATTCAAATATTAAGAATGCTTGTATTAATTACAAATTGAGTAATAGACTGTAAATTTCAGTTTATTTAATTTTATATATAAGGGCAGATTACTCAAACTAGATAAAAATACCATATAATCAGAGCTCTTGGAAGCGAACGGACACTCTATCTATTCAAACACAGTCTAGTCGTGAAGTAAATTTTATTTGAGGAAATAAATAATAATTTAGGTCTGATAAACGAACATGGACCAGAAGAAGGAAGGAACTGACGTAGGCACAACAGAATCATATGTCCATACTATTGAGTTATGTATAAAAATTCGAACGTTTGGTGTCTCTCATAAATCTCCCGATTAAGATTTGGTAGAGTTTTCAAATAAACACAAGTTTTGGAATGCAATCTCTACTTAGAAATCATTTGAATTCTCCTCACGAGCTTCCATATCAACAAAGTTCTTTCTTTGTGTCAAAGAAACGAACCTCAACGCTAAGCGAATGGTGACCGAATGCGTGAACAGTGAGCGAGGGAAGGAGATGCCACGCTGATCATGAGAGAACGGATTTTAGTGAGCAGCGAGCGAACTGAGTGAAATACTATACGTGAATTCCTTGTAATCTTCGAAAATGTAAATGTAATGAATATTTTTACTTGTATTTATTTACAAGCAATAGTTTATATTTGTTAATAAATAATATTATGTACATGATTATTTCTTCATTCATTTTATTCATTTACACATATGATTTATTTACTGGTTATTTATATATTTCTCTTTCTTTTCTTTTTTTGGGGGTGGGGGTGGGGGTGGGGGGATAATGAGAAGATAATTAAGCATAGTATCATGTTGCGTTCACAGGGAGAAGAATTCTGACTCGGAGAAAGATTTACAAAATGCTACTAAAGCTTCAAAGATGCTTATAATAAATGATTTCGATGCAGGTTGAAGAACTGATTTTTTCCAAGGAAAGATTTCAAACAATGGAATGCATTTGTAATTTTTAAGAAAAAAAAATCCTTGATTTCTCTCAGTGAGAAAGTATGGAGCGTTTATTTATGAACACGTTATACAAATACTACTGCATAACTTGGTGAAATGTTGTAGTTTGCGAATAAAGAAGTGCATGAATTCGAAATAACTTGAGGAATACGAGACATATAAAAAAATTCATGCAGACATACATAATTTATCCAGTTTTGAGGACTGTGAGTGTAACAGAGGAAATGACCACTCTGTACCTGGCCTGATTTTAAACCAGTACCTGGCAAGGTATTCATGGATTTAATTGATTAAAGATTCGGCTATTTACCGTTAAGTCAAAAAGTGTTTATTAAACTATGTTCTTTAGAGGCTGATTTTATCGAGTGCTATGAGTTTCACTTTTGTCTATTATAATTGTATTATTTGATTAACGGAGTTTACTGTTCGGGTTTGGGAATCTTGGATTGTTCTCTTGTTAAGGAAACACATGCTTTGGGTTGCTCTAAAGACCGCACTCTGCGGGTATTGTCATTCAAAGACCACGGTCCCCATTACATCTCTGTAACGGTCTATCGTGTATCAACAAAAGGAATTGGTTTAATGAAAGACAACACAAATAAATCGAGTTCTTAGACTGATTCTCAATTTTTAAATAGTGTCGCTCAACCTTAACCTAATTAACCTAAACGACTTTAACATACTAGTATTTTCCATATACATTTATTTAGTAGTATTTATTTTATCATATTTAAGTTGAATAACTAATTTTTGTTTCATGCCGATTCTGTTATGAATTTAATTATAATTTTTTTTTCTTAAAAAAAAAAAAACCTGTCAGATTAGTGATTTAATCGAAAAATGTTTTTTTTTGTTTTGTTTTGTTTTGTTTTTTTTTTTGTTTTGTTTTGTTTTGTTTGTTTGTTTGTTTGTTTTTTTTTTTTTTGCATTGAATGCAAGATTCCAGCATTTAAGAGCTGGTATTACATTTTAAAATCAAGAGGCCAATGGGCCACATCGCTCACCTGAGCAAATTGGCTAAGAGAAGACAGAAATCAGTCAGTATTAAAAAGTTTACGGGGGGACTTAAATTTACACTACCTCAGGATGCTTCCATATCAATATTACTGATCACGGCTTTGCTGTTCTTGAGTAGAAGAATTTTAACGATTTTTCCCTATGTATTCCTATGTAAAACTCTGATCGCTCATTGTGGCCCCACCCTAAATTTGAATCTACACTACCTGAGGATGCTTCTACTAATAATATGACTATATATAGAATAATTTATACATACATTAAATTGAGATATACAAAAAAATCGCTGGTATAGTTCAATATATACATCACACTGGAATAGATTAATACAAGCATTACATTGAAATAGAACAATGCACACATTGCAATGAAACAGATTTATACAAACATTACAAAGTAAAGATCAATACTCACATTTCTATAATGTCATTATGATACAAACATTACATTGAAAAAGATTATATAAACATTATTCTGCAATAGATCAATACAAGCAATACACTGTTCAAAAGAGATTAATAAAACATTACACTGATATCGATTTATAGAAACATTATTTTGCACTGAAATAGATAAATTAATTATTATATTTACATTCCAGTGAAATGGCTAAATCACACAATACAGTGTGTTATTTACACATAAATATTAATGACCTGCACAAACTTAAGAAACGTAACATACTATCTTTCATATTCTGTGAATATGAAATAGAACTGTTTTCAAGCTTCATTTACAAATAAATAGACTTTAATATAATTATTAATGAGAGGGAAACTTATAGAGATCATATCAAGGATAAAAATAAATCACGTTCAAGAAAAGCCCTGTCCGATACCATACATGTATAAAAATTCGAGGGTCATTTTTCTGCAGTGTGTCCACACCACCAAATAAACTTTTAACAAGAGGTCCATGGGCCACATCTTCACCTGAGCACATTGGCTTGTAAAAACGTCAGAAATCAGTTCAGTATTGAAAAGTTTACGGGGGAAGGGGACAAACTTAAATTTACACTACCTCAGGATGCTTCCATATCAATATTACTAATCATGGCTTTGCTGTTCTTTAGCAGAAGAATTTTATAGATTTTTTCCCTTATACATTCCTATGTAAAACTCTGATCTCTCGTTGTGGCCCCATCCTACCCACCCTAAATTTGAACAAATTTGAATCTACACTACCCGAGGATGCCTTTTTAATAATATGACTAATTAGGCTTTGCTGTTCTTGAGCAGATACCGTATATGATTGTATAAATATGACTAATAAGAAGATTTTCAAAGATATTTCTCATGTAATATGTATGATCAGGTTCTTACAAGATATATACAGATTTTCCTTTTACTCTGTCTAAGTTAATGATTGGAATGATTATTAAGACTGTTCTGTCCGAGGGTAAAATAAATCACACAGTATTAAAATTTTTCTCTTATCTAGAGATGGGGACTGGGTAAAGTACTACTTGCACAGTGTTTCTCCCCAAGGTTCCTACTGATTGATAAGAACCAGGTGTCTCAATCTTCTTCAGATTTACTACAACCAGAACTTAACATCAGTTCCCTAGGATACTTACCACTGGTGCTCATAACTTTTATTTTGCTCTTACCCTTAACTCTTTTATTGCTGATTCAATGGCCAACTTCCTCACCTAGCTTATTTTTGCCTAACTTTCCTATAGTTTTGCCTTATATACCATTTGCCTAGTCTATTCCAAGGGTTGTCAGGCCATTCCTTCAATGCGTTTTACGCAAATGCCCCTTTAAAACTATTACACCTATATATTCCCATGTAAAACTCTGGCCCACTGTTATGGCGCCGGTATACCCCCGGGGGTCATGATTTGAACAAACTAGAATTTACAACACCTGAGAATACTTCTGTATTAATATGACTAATAATGGCTTAACTTGAGAGGAAAAATTTTTAAAGATATATCCTATACATGTATATTATTATGTAAAAACTTGACCCCCTGTTATTTCTGCGCCCAATCCCCAGGGGTCATGATTTGAACAAACCCGAATCTACACTACCTGAGGATACTTCTATAATAATATCGGTATGACTAATAATGGCTTTGCTGGAGATTTCCAAAGTTATTTCCTATATATTCTTATGTAAAACTTTGACCCTCTGTTGTGGCCCTGCCTTACCCCCAGGGGTCATGATTGGAACAAATTTGAATCTACACTACATGAGGATACTTCTATAATAATATGACTAATCATGGCTTTGCTGTTCTCGAGGAGAAAAAATTTAAAGACATTTCCCATATATTCTTATGTAAAACTTCGACCCCCTCTTGCAGCCCCGCCGTTCCTCCGGGGGTTATGATATGAACAAATTTGAATCTAGAGGATGTAAAGAAGCTTTAATTCAAATTTCATCTTTTCTTGCCCAGTGGTTCCTGAGAAGGATTTCTAAAAGATGGCACCAAATTATCATGAATTCTTACCGATAATTATCTCCCTTTGTAATAGGACGTGTCACTTCCTGTCGAAAATGTGAAAAGTTTACAGACGACGGACGACAGACGCCGGGCACTCTTTTTGATCAGAAAAGCTCACTTGAGCCTTCGGCTAAGGTGAGCTAAAAATGATATACCAAGCATCAGCATCTTCAACTGAATCCTCCTCAAAATATAATTAAGTCTTTTACCGAATCCTCGATCACATCCATTTCTTCCTGCCTAGGATAATACACATATCTGTAAGAGTTCACAGAAATCCTTTCTTGACTTTCTGATATATATGATTTACGTTTGTTTTATGGGCAAACTGAAAAATAAACAAATAGGATCTAAAATAAAATATTTCTTTTTTTGCGGAATAATAAGAAATGGGGACTAGAAGATATTCATAACCTCGAACTAGATTCCAAGATAACGAATTAAATATAAGAAGTCGATCAATATGGAATGTAAACTGTTTCTAGTTTTTGTCTGTTTTGGTTTATCGTTTGGAGGTATGTATTGAGCTGAGATGTTTCAATTTCTGTTAACAGTACTGTCAAATACATTGCGTTTTTAAATGAATTTTTTTTTAGCTCACGTGGTTCAGCAACGCCAAGATATTGGAGCTCCTCATGGAATAGGTAAGAACGTGAAAGGCGTTGTGTTACTCCATCAGATCTACATATTTATTGATCATAGTTTTAGAAATAAAATAATGTGCCATTCTCTGTAATTAATTTAACTCGAATATTCGAGCCGTAACAAGCGTAATCGCAGAATTTTTTCAAACTTGCTATGTTAAAGTATTATTTGATACCATGGATTCATAACAGGCAAAAACTGGTTGTTATATTTCATGGCTACCATTGCAATATGCCCTGAAATTTGACAAGGGAGCATCTTTGAACATATTTAGTCCCATTACCAACGTTTGCAAGTATGCAGAAAAGTGACAGTGCCTTTTTTTTTTTCCAAACGTCGAAGACTATATTTTTTATATGTGTCATAAAAATCTTTGGGAAATCATGGATAATATGTCTTATCATGGAAACAATGTATTGAAAATCAGTTGTTTTATTCATTCATTTTTATGAGCTGTCTTTAAAAAGTGCAAGTTGAAATGTAACCAAATTATAAAAATCATTGTCACATATTTTAAGGAAGAATGTGATATTTTATTGGTTGCTATAGCAATAATACCGAAAACGAAAGGCAGTTTTTAAAAGTAATGATGGGGTCTAAATTTTTACATTTCAAAACTATTCTAAAATAAAGTGTTTCTCTTGAAATTGTATAAAATACATGTACAAAAAAATCTGAAAAGTATTTAGTTTACTTGGATTTGTACCTTTTATGTAGATTCCAAAAACTGAAATCTATAATCCAGCATTCCGACTTTCAGTTATGGTCACCATGCAATTTAACTGCCTGAAAGAAGCTACCACTAAAGATTTCAATATTATATCACAAATAGGAAATTAGGAAAATTAAACATTTTCCATTCTTGGTAACATTATTTTTAAAAAAAAATCGTACCGCAATGCCGGGTATATCATGATTTTCCCCCAAAATATCACGATAACGATATTTTTACAAGCAATATTTATTATGATTTCAAAGGGGTTTCCAGGGTTTTTCTTTCAAATATGCTGTAAAAACATAAGTTTACTTTTTTGGGTGCTAGGATGCCGTTAGTTTTTCTATGTTAAAATATGTTTTGCACTTCAATTTAAAAGTCTGAACAAATAAATGAATTATTTCTGAATTTTATGATTATTAACTAAATACCGGCGGTACTTTTGTCTTCGTATCACGATACGTATCATGCAATAAAAAAAATCACGATATACCGGTATACTGATAAAATCGCTATTGTTTTTATTTTAGGATTTAAATACCTTCACATTAAGCAATGTAACAATTATATATATAGTAACAGGATCGAGATAAACATTCAAATCACTTATCTGAATCGAACGGCAGTCACCTAGTGACCATTAATTGCTAGAGCCAATCGAAGTTGTATGTGAATTTCTAGAAATTTGAAGGAGTGACCCTAGAATCGATAAATGCATCAGTCCAAATATCAAGTTGAGCCGAATCTCAGCCGAGATTAGGACAAACATCAGGATGAATCACTACATGCCTTATGTCAGTTTGCCACAGATACAAATATTAAGCGTTTTTATCTTGCTTTTAAGGTGGTGCATCATGTCCTCATTTGTTCTATAGTGGAAACAGCACTTGTTACAGAGTTGTGCGTATTAAAGCGACATGGCCAGAAGCTCTGGTAAGCTCCATTACATTACATAGAGATGTATACAAATTCAAGGGCCTCAAAGCTCACCTGAGCCACCATTGTCCTGGTCTTCTTCAAAAGATTTTTTAAAGATTTTTACCCTCTACATTTTCATACAAATGCTGACACCATATCGTGGCCCCACGACCCAAGGGGTCATGACTTAACCAAATTGAATCCACTCTACATGAGGATTCCGAATATCAACGACTATTGTGTTTTGGTGTTTTGTTGGAGATTTTTAAAAGGCATTTGCTTCATTTATTCGTGTATTATTTTATGAATTCCTAGATTGTATCCCTTGAATCCGTACGATGTGAATGTTTGCATACCAATATGATTTAGTGTCGCCATCCTTCTCTTGAATTTCCTGTATAATATTAATCCAATATTCATGATATTCTAAACAGAAAATTCCTGTATATTTCCATGTAAAATTTTGAATTCTTATTTTAGCTCAATTCTAGCCCCTTGGAGCATGATCTGAACCAATATGAATCTGCACAATATTAGTTTGCTAGCATATTAATATGAGTACATGTCATTGTTGCACTATAATTGAGACAGGGTTTTTAAAAGAAGATTTTTCCTACATATTCCATGTGAATATTTGAACTCTAATTGTGGCTCACCCTTAACTCCTGGACCATGTTTTGAATAAATTTGAATCTGCACTATCTAGAAATGCTTGCATGATCACTAGTATATGATTTACTCAGTATATTGTTAACCTGCTGTTCTTGAAAAGATTTTTGACTGCATTTTTAATCTCCCATTGTCATTGAGAATGATTCTTTATGAATATGACTAGTCATAACCTCCGTTGCTGTTTTTGCGAAGATTTTCAAAGATTTTTTTGTATATACTGCCAAGATGTATACAAATTTATAACTTTTATCCTCAGTTGTGGCCTCACCTTACCCCCCCCCCCCCCCGGAGGTCGTGGTTTGAACAAATTTAAATCTCCATGTGAGGAAGTTGTCGCCATTCATCTTTTCTTGTCCAGTATCTCCTGATAAGGTTTTTAAATTATCCCACCCTTTTACATTGTTCTTGATTATCTCCTTATGGAAGAAGACATACCTTTTCATTTGAGCAAACTTAAATTCTCTTACTCAATTGCAAGAACCCCCTCGGCAAAGTTCGGTTGAAAATTTTGCATATTGGTTCTGGATGTTTAAAGTTAACAGATGGACCGACAGGCAAACGACGACGGACAAACTTCGATCAGAAAAACTCATTTGACAGAGGTGAGTTAACAAGAAAAAAAAAATACAAATATTCTTAGACATAAATAGCAATGAAGTTGATAAATGCAAAACACAACTACATGTACTAATTTTTGCACCTGAATTTAAATTATCGTAAACGATAGTTAATGGCTTTTTCAAGAGGAAAGGGCTTTGATTTAAAAAAAATTACCCTGAATTATCAACCATGTTTTTTAGGCTTATTGTGAGGCGTACAAGGCAGAACTTGCTATCATTGAATCTGAAGAAGAACAGAGATTTTTGGAAAATTACATCCAGACAGAAGCGGGTAATACGTATTATGTACAAGTAATGAAGGTTATGTTGTTTTTAACACATCCGAATGAGGTTTAATCTGTACGTTTTATCGAAAAGGGTCGAAGATAGAGTCTTGAAACTTTCGGGGATGATAGATCTTGACTTGAAGATGGGTTTTCTCTACAATATTGAATTTTTTTAACACTTGTTGATGTTAGTGAGAAAGTCTTAAGCAGAGTTTCAAGTCATAATAGTTTCGTCGGAAGTATGGTTCACCCAAACCGAAAGTAGTCTAAAAATGAGTAAATTTCACAGAAACTTTCAGGGATATTTTCTACAATACGTAATTTTTATTCATTTCGAGCACTTCCGGTCAAACTGGAAGTGAATTAAAAATACCAGAAGCAGATTAAATATTCTTTCAACTCTTATCTAAATCTAAATCTAAATCATGCTCTCATCTCTTATCTATATCTAAATATATTTTGAAGAATTAAGGTGCCAATTCCTACACATATAGTTGTTCCTTCACCAATTGAACGATCTCGGTCAAAATCCTATTGGGCAGAATACCTCTCTTTGCTCGCAACAAGATCACATCTAGTTACATCTATATGCATTATACACTAAACTGAAAAAAAGGGAAAATATTTTCAATATTTTCTCACAAAACTTTGTGATAAAGGAATCCTAATTAAATTTTATACGAATATATATTTTTTTAGCCTCGTTTGCGACGAAAGACTTTTGGTTGGGTGCTACTGACATCATGTCTGAAGGTGATTGGCAATGGGCTCTAACTATTGAGAGGGTAATATTGTTATTATTTTTTGTCATTGCAGATCTTGAAGCTCGTCTGTAGGGGGCAGATTTTTTTCATTAATATATTGTCTTGGTATTCTTTGATTACCCTCTTTGATAACTTTGAAGAGTTTCAAAATAGGCCTTTAATTTTGACGGAGCCGTCAAGAAGCCAAAACCAGTATCAAAGTATAAGTTGTAGTTTCCCTCTTGACAAACTAATATTTCTTAAAAGATGCAATTATACAACGAGAAAATGACTTTCTTTTTGCAAACAAAGTTTAACTTTAAGTGTTGATCTTTAAGTGTGCAACAGGAACTGAATCTCGGAGAAAATACTTTTACTTAAAGTTTGTGTTTTAGTCTTTGCTCTATTTCAATTCAAAATTTGCAAATTTCATGAGCAAGATTTATTTTATATATATATATATATATATATATATATATATATATATATATATATATATATATATATATATATATATATATATATATATATATATATATATATATCATTGGTAATCAACAACAGGTCAAACACGACCATAAATTTATAGGTATCATACACAAACTGGGCCCCTGGAAAGCCGAATAATCTACATAATGTTGAACACTGCCTAAAGACGGAGGGGGACAATAGCTTCCTGTGGAACGACGACGACTGTGAAACACACAATTACTTTGTTTGTGAGACCCTGGAAACATCGTAAACTCTCGGGTTTGTATCGTAATATATTTACCTGTTCAAATGTTTTTTTGTCAGAGATAAAACTATATGTATATCTGCTCATCACGTGACAGAACTACCTTCTCGCTGTGTGTGGCTTAGTAATATACTGGATGGGGTTTGCATTCTTAGATTTCTAATTATTGAATTAAATAACGAAACTATCTCATTTTTCTTATTGAATCAAAGATCAGTTAAAAATGTACATATAAGGAATAACTTTTTATGCAAATTCTCACGTGAGTAAACTGTTTGATCACACCTAGAACCAAAAAACTAGACAGTTATTCCTTATAGACTTGGATTTGTACGGTATAATATCGAAACACTCGGTTAGTTCCATAATGTCGTAAACTATCGGGTTTGTACTGTAATACAAGTGAAGCTTTTAAAAGCTTACCTGACTAATTTTAAACCTAACGTCTTTTACAAGGAATGTGAAAAAAAATATGTAATGAAATAAAACATATTGTTTGTTTCTCAAACAACAGGAATACAAGTGGAAATGTACATGCGTTTGGATAACATTTAAAAGAAGTTAATATGACATGATACTGAAGATTCTTTAAATGGTTTTAAATTAAAATGATCTAAGTAGGGAAAACAAATTAATGTAATTAATATATGCTGGGAAGCTGTGGATGTGCAAATGTTATATGAATACGTTTCAAATGCATACAAGCTCACAAATGCCGAAAGACAGCTGAAAATATAACTACTTGCCAATAAACAATAAGTTATTTTATCAAATGGGATAAACAAAATTCTAACGCTTGAGAATCAGGTTTAATACCGTGGAAATTATCATTCCCATTCAACAGAACATTCCAAGGAAAAGGCGCGAAGATTTACTCGTGACATTTATCGCGAAATGATTGTTTCACCCCTTTCGTAGAAGACAAATGGACTAAAAAGGTTATACGGACATGAGGACTAAAAAGGTTATACGGACATGTCCGTATAGGGATTTGCTTGTAGTAAACAGTTGCATGCAAAAAACTAAAGGAAGTAAATATTTTGCATCAGTAATATGATTGATTCTTCAGCTGTTGTTTTTAAAACGCAGGTAACAAATTGCGATGTGAATCTGCTAGCTTTCAACCCTTTTTTTTTTTACAACCCATGGAAAATCTGATTCTTAACCTACCGGTCTTAGAATAATATCACAGGCACTTGTTTCTGGAATATATTTTTGACCCATAGTATAATAATAACACAAGGTATCCAACTCCGAATTACATGGAGTATCCCCCTCCCCCAGAATCGCACTCATTTACAATTTCAGAGGACATGCACTGACAAACTGTTTATACCCATGTCTTCTACGATAAATCTACACAACCATATATGGCATGCTTGTCTTTATTTTCTTTTATCTCCGTAAACAGCGTCAAAACGCTGCTCGCCGAGTGCAAAAGTCTAACTCAACCATGGAATGGTATGTGCTAATCCCGAGCAGAGATTTTGATTGGCTAAAAATCTGTTTCTAAAATTACATCGGAAAAATGTCGTAGTGTTTTTATGGAAAATGAGAGGTAAACAAATTTTTTAAACACTGGAATTGAATTTTTAAACCCACTCATTTTTTAATTTTGCTCTCTGCCCGGGATTAGCACATACCATTTCATGGTTGAATTCGACTTTTCCACTCGGCGAGCAGAGTTTGACGCTGTTTACGGTGATAAAAGAAAATAAAGACAAGCATGCCATATTTGGTTGTGTAGATAAATTATTGTAGAAGACATGGGTATAAACAGTTTGCCAGTGCATGTCCTCTGAAATTGTAAATGAGTGCGATTCTGGGGGGGGGGGGGGGGATACTCCATGTAATTCGGAGTTGGATACCTTGTGTTATTATTATACTATGGGTCAAAAGTTTATTACAGAAACAAGTGCCTGTGAGAAATATGCATTAATCACATGTTTGTTTACGGATGGAAGTCAGCCCACTGTGCACGTGTAATACAGGGCGCAGCCATATTGTCTATAAAGTAGTCCCGGTTATTGTTCCATTAAGGATCGCCTAACATTAAAAAAATTCACTAAAACTAGAAAATTGAACACACTGTCAGAATATCTTTGTTAATTCAGGGAAAAAAATTCCAAAACTTCGAATGTGTCGACGAAAGATTAATATTTTTGTTTTTTATGTGTGCAATAAAATAGGAGCATTACTATATAAATTGTGCAAACACATGTAACTGAGTGGACAAATCCGATAGTTTATCAATATCTTAAGGAGGTTGGATCCTGCCATCAAAAGTAATGAGAATTTTTTATCAAGTATATTTTTAGAATTTATACACATGGCTTTATTAAAAATCAAAACAAAAAATGGGGGTCAATGCGCTTCTTTTGGCGCTACAGAGCATTTAGTTTGACCTTTTTGCACTGTAAATACGTCTTACACAGAAATCAATTTTGAAAGTTTTTCCTTCAATATTTTTTGTTCAAATAAATTATGGTGAACAAACACAGTCTTATTTCATCTTAAATAGACACATTAAAATTTGTAACAACGAAGAAATTTTCGAATTACTCCGCATGTTCAATTATTTGACCTTTTTGCACTCAAACATTTTCATTTTTCTGGCATTAAAATTTAACAAGCGGAAAAATCATTTGAAAGTAATGACATTTTACAGAATTTAAGAAGAATGATTAAAAGTATCGTATATATTCAGAAAAGAAAATTAAAAGTGGGGGTCTGTGATGTTAATTTTTAGATATTACTAAAACAGTGTTAATTTTAAGCTTAAATTAGGGCTATTTTTTTCTTCATTTCCACAATATATTTGCTATATTTATCAAATATGATGATAGAATTCATGACAGTTTATTTAATACATAATTTAGGAGCAGTATAAAACAGTCCACTGCACAAAATAACTATATGTGCAGACTGCATGTAAAAATAGGAATTCAAACTTAACATACTTTAAATACTTCGAAAGAGAAAAAATGATCATTTTCTTCCAAAAAACCTTCCGCCACAAAATATAGTTCCTCACTTAATGCTTTTGGTATGGAATTTAATCATGGAGTTTTAACTGAATATAGTTAAATTGGCATTGTAGAATCCAAATATATTGTAAGTATTAAAACATTATGCAGAATTTTTGAAATATAGGTTAAGATAAGAATCTGCTCAAAAGCTCAGGAGCGAACCTCGTTAACTAGCAAACTCAAGTGAAAAACATCGTGAGACAGTGTGCGACATTTCTATTAGAGTTATCTTTCTTAACATGTAATCATAGGTAGTTATATTTAACAAGAGAGGCGATGGGGGCTGAAGCAGCGAGAGGATGTCTGTTTTCCTTATCACACAAACGTACAGTACTTTCTTTTTTATGAATCCATAATGATAATAAAGAATTTTTTATGCCTGTGTGTATGTGTGTGCATGTTTTTCTCCCTTGTATAAAAACTGTCACATAGCATTTAGGATCATTTCTTACAATGTGATATTTAAGCTATAGAGAGAGAGAGAGAGAGAGGGAAGAAAGTGAATTTTTTCTCTTATTTTCTTTTTTTTAAAATAATTTCATGACTTATGAACTTGTGTGGGTTTAAACCCTTAAGATATGTAAGGTAGAAGAGAAGATGCTTATATAGCAGATGACCTGACAAAGTAAATAAATTATTGACAGTCCTTGATTAGCTAAGAGTATATTTCTGACGAGAATATTATTTTGGTGATCATCTCCGTTAGTCAGGGGTCATTGACTGACTAACGTCTCCGACATACCGCGGACCAGTTGTTCAGTATGACGTCTTATACTGCCCACTGCTACAGTCTAATCTTTGCTTACTTTGCATGAATTCGATTTATTTCTCATTCGTGGAGGACTGCTGATGAGAATTGGGTCTGGGTTTAATCAGCGCCTCTACTTTTCATGTAAATGTTTGTCTTTTTATAGCGCTTCTGCAGCTTTTTAAAGTTAATTTAAGTATTTCAATGACTTCGTAATCGTCTTTGTGTGTGAAGTTTGGGGTCTTGGAGCCTGAAGTATGTGACATATTGAGGGGTCAGAGGAATCCTGGCGTTACGATTCCGGTCCATTACATCAAAACCTCAGTAGAATATTTCTACAAACAAATGGAGGCGGAAATTAAGTTTAGATCAAAATAAAGATGGCTGTGTTCAATCTTTTGAATCAATATTTATAGAATTAAATTTGGTTTTGCTGTCGGTCTCCTGTGTTTCGAGATTATGTAATTATATCTAACTACCGATTGTTTACTTTGATCAGGAATTGCACTTTGTAATTTCTAAATTCTAGAGCTGGCTGCAAAGAGTAATTTTTGTAAACGTCACGATGTAGTTTCGTTAATTTTCTTAATTAAGTTTGGTGTTGGTAAAGTCGTTTGTTTATATATATATATATATATATATATATATATATATATATATATATATATTATATATATATATATATATATATATATATATATATATATATATATACGCAGATGCTCATTCAACCCTTCTTCTCTTTTACAGGATGTATGCCGAGAAACAGTGCTTTGTTTTCTAGAAATAAAAGAGGGAGTTCTTCCTTCGTTGATTTCGAATCCAACAGGACAAAATACACATTATACCACAATTTCATTAATTTTACCATTATAGCTTGTTTCCGCGTATCTGAAATACTTCTCGTTTTCGTTTCAAGCAAGCGAATTATTAAAGTATTTGGCCTCATTTGTTAATTTTAAGAAAATGATAATTTTTCTAGGGATAAAAATTTGCATAGGTTACGTCAATTTGAAAGGTGTTTTTTTTAAGCTTCTATAGTCAATTTTAATTAAGGTTAAGTAAGGGACGTACATCTACTAGAAAGGAATTTTCAAAATGTTTGCGTACACATCAGAGGAAATTTAAATAGAAAGGCCAAATTAAGGGTGTTGCCCATTTGGACACCTGCGCCAGGTAACATCTAAATGTCTGTGTCAAGGAATTTAACAAATTAACGTTCAACATTTCGATATAACTTAAAATTGAAGTAAAAAGGAAAAAGTCATTTTTATCTCAACTTTTATTGGAAGTGTTCCCAATGTTCTTGTAAGAGACAATATCGTAAAAAAATAAAACAATTACAAGCTTTCTGTGCCAAGATACCAAACAAGCGGGGAGATCGGAAACATTCCAACGAGAATTCGCCAATCCCCCACCTATCACACACAAACAGAATAAATAACAAAAAAAAATCCTGACATCTACCGCAAAGGCAAACATCACTGATATGTACAGATATTGTCTATAAAAATCACAATCACTCTCACAAAAGTCTTCACAATGACTTGTACATTACTCGGATCCTTTCTCTGATACAAGTGGAACTTGCATTCTCGTACTTTACTATATAGTTTTTACACTATATTTAAATAAATAATACATATTAGTTTTTACCACTGAAAAACTAACAAAATAAATAAATAAACATATAAATATTAATAGTTTATATTGCACTGTCTCACAAGCGATGACTAGAAATAGAAAAGTACAGCTTCTATTGTGGCCTTTCCTTTGGAATTAAGAAGAAAGGTTATGTTAATAGTTTAAAGCTGTAGTTCCACACATAGTGCTCACCGAAACATCGGCGAATTGTCAATAGAATGGAGGGATTACATGTTAGTACAAAGACCCTTTGAGCATAGTAAAAATGCCAGTCATGGTATCACACAGGTTATTACTAGTAATATATACCACCACCCCACTCAAGCCGCAGCCAAAAAGCTGCGGGGTCATAGGTCATCGCTGGCGATCGACTGTGTCATATGGTCTTCTAAGACCAAAGCGTCGATTTCTTTTAATGCTTTTCTAGGGCCAATGTATTTGGTCCATGGTTTTGTAAATATTTAGGAATGATTCTAATGATGTAGCAGCACCAGAAAAGTTGCGTGTTCCTGATTGCGTCACAGTGGTCGCGTGGCTTAGACACGAGACGTTTGTTTGATTGTTTTCTTAATTTTGGATGATAACTTCTTGGATTTTCCGCCAAAACATCCCCAGAAAAGACTGGGTTTGATGGGGGAGGATTCTTCTATGATGGGGTTTGATTTCTGGACGGGAACATCTTCAAGGTCCTCTAGGGTCACAAACACCTCGGGATCGGGGACATCGACTACACCGATACTGAAGAAATATTCCTCAGGGGGCCTCCAGTTGATTTCCAATTTCGTGACTGACAAAGCTCTGTCAAGATGATGTAGATAATAACCTAAAAGAAACCGGTAAATAAAAACTGAGTAAAGTTATGGTAAAAAGAAATAAAACTCATAGCCGATATATATATTGAAAATCGATAGATTTCATGACTGATTGTGAACGAGAGCTCCATTTTTTTGTCAACAGGTTGTTGATATGGATGTAAAATGTACATACCTTTATGATGGTACGGCTGGATGAAGACACTACCGTTTGATACTGGATGCATTATGAAGCATCTGTCATCTGGAGACTGGGGATCCACGGGGGTTTCTGACTGGTGTACCGCTAACCCCCGGTCAGGGGTCACGGACAGGTACAGGTCCCCCCGACTGTGGAGTCGGAATGTGCAGAATTCGGTGGAGTTTTCTCCGTCCTGAAGTGCATGTTTTGTCTGACGAAATATGTCTAAAAGGAAAAGAAAAAAATAAGTTAATGATGACAGTTTATGCAAAACATTTGAAAAATCTAGGTTAACAAGAACGATGTGATAAAAGACCGGGAAGGTGAATTTCAAGACTTGTTTCAACTAGTTTGTGAAGAAAAAAATAGTTGTTATTCAAATTTGTTTACGATTCCTTGGAATTCTATCCAATACCTGGAAAATCCAGATATATCGAGACATTTTATGCAATTACTTTCGTAATTATAGATTTATATAACTAATCGGTAATGAGCAGCGGAGAAAAATTCTCATAGGACCGTCTTCAGAAACATATAGCTATACACGTCATTCGCATTGTATAATACTGTGCGATGACGGTTGACATGCTTAGTATGGATAATGTGTTGTGGTCGTGAAATCCATAGTAATGTCAACAGATAGTACCATAAACAAGGATAAACCGCGCCATACTGCCGTGAAAATCGAAGAATGGTCAACGAAAAACGTGTGAGAAAGTTCCTTGTCTACTTCGCTGACCAGTAAACAGTAAAAATACAATATAACCAATGCCTGGCAGACTGCGGTTTTTTTGGTACATTTTTTATGTCGAAGCCACAGGTGGAATTTATCGTACGATTTATGAAGTGTCCTTGTACTGGGATAGTTTATATGGCATTAATTAGTTCAGACATAATTAATACGTATTTATAACACAAACAAACAGATATATGAATCTGAATTAAAATAATTTTTTTTTGGTCTTCATCTTCTCCACGAACCCGCTCTATACACCTCACCAAACATTTGAAGCACTAATTGGTTAAATTATGCGATTTATCAATATAGAACCGGAAATCATCAGGATTGGCCAAATCATCACCTATTTGCATCCCACTGTGTATAATGAGGAAACAATTCGTAATTTGTTTTCCATTTTCACCAGTGTCATTATTAGCGAATATATATATTATTCTAATAAAATACTTAGCAACTCATTAGACAACATCCTTCGGTCTTTTTTTTTTAAAGAAACTGAGCGGGTTGTCTTAAAACAATGCGTAAAATGTAAAAATTCAGACGTACACACACTAGTATGTGATTTATATTTTTTCATGTCCTTAAAATTTACTCGAAATACAGAGAACTGTTTATCAAATGTCCCTTCCTTGATGTAAAAGTAATTAGGCCATCGAAACATCTGGATTTTGTGATATTTTTAGATTAACTTCCTTGAATTTGTACACGTTGTACACTGTAATATTTTTTTAACCAAAGAAGGCTATATTATTAAGCATATGAAGTATTTGTTCTACACAAAAATAAACAATAAATAAATCAATAATTATAAAAATTAAAAATAGCACACAACTTCTAAAACTTATCGCAATGTTCTCTGTTGTAGTTGAAGGTATTGTGGGTTTTTTCAGGAAACTATTAAATATCTGATGATAAGGTGATTCTGAATTTGTAACAAGTTTCTTTATTTCCTTAAGTCAACTGGCTTATCAGAATGACACTTACGTGTGTACATGTAATAGAATAATTAAGGAAAATAGAGAAGGGGAGACATGAATACATAAATGAAAATACATGTAGTGTTAAACACCAATGGCATTTTTTTTCTTAACAGAGTGGCAGCTTTTAAAAATTTACCCAAAGATTTTCAAAAGATCTTTAACATTGTTATTACTGAACAAGGCAAGTGACTTACTTGAATTGTTAGGGTCCTCTACATCTCCGAGGTATATGCGGTTAAGTTCCTCACATAAGCTGACCACGTAACCGTCTTTGGTTTCTACTGTAACATTGGAACTGTTCTCTTTCTGGGCTGAGTGTCTTCTCTTGATGCTTTCTATATATAAACAAAATCATTTTTTTTTTATTTTGTCCCTACTATTTCTTTAATTATTATAAATTGCGACCTGTCTATATCGGTATATAAATAATATACTAGTAATAATTACCTGTGTAGCTTGTTCTTGCCGAGGATGGGTTGTTTACTTCACTTTTCTTCGCCTAAAATTGACCCAAAAAAATTTAATAATTAAAAATCTATTGAAATTGCTTGGTCAATTGCACTAAACATGGTAAACTGTTGATGTAACATTGTAACCCCCTACAGAAAGTGACACGGGACATTACGCAAATTGACAGCATAAAAATTTTAAATTTTTGAAAAATGTCAGCGAAAGGTAATGCACTCAACACAATGAAATCAGCAGACGTGTAATTAATTGACAAAGCCTATTCCTGAACAATGCATGTACTGTCTATGGACCCAGGGGGATCGCACCGGTTGGGGGTGAAATATTATACCCTCCAGGGGTCATCCTATAAACAGAATATGGCAGCGTTTTGTTTTGGAGATACAGGCAGAAAGTGTTAAATGTCACAACAAAATACCTCAGGTCTACCCCCATTATTACTTGTAAACGATATTAAATGGAATCTTTTATTTCATTTATAGACCCGCTGACTATATACTTTGAAAATCTTTCTACAGGTAAGTTTCTAAATAAAGATAACATACAAATATTCTCGGGCTTTTTGATCTAAAAATAAGAGTGATGATATCAAAGGTAAATGTATTTAGGCCGATTGCATAACGACAACACAATATTTACTTTACATCATGTTTTTTCATCAGCCGATTACCTTTTCATTATTTCTTCAGTAAATTAAACCAAGTACCTATATTTTTCAGTATATTTAGTTAAAAATAAGGAAATCATGTTTGTCTGGCCCGGATTTAGGATCACTTAATTTTGTTCTAAAAATGGATGTAGCGGATTAGTGTTAAATAAATTCTTTTCATTAAACGGCTAATAGGTTTCAATATTGATGTATCCATCCATATACCATCTAATCAATCTTAAAATCGCCTATTGGCAATCTAAACAAAAATCAAGCGATAAAGGCTCTTAAAAATACAACCTTAGAACGACCATCTATTCAACACACTGATAACACCTATATACCAACTCAACACCCTTTAAATCAAGTATTCGACAGGCTAATATAGTATGATGAATAAACATTTATATAATTTGTTAAGAATGCAAAGCATTTAAAAAGGCCTATTGTTCAGAGATTGAAGATCTTAAATAGCCCCCGCCCGCCAAAGTAAATATCAGTCCCCTACATTTGGACAGTTTTCATGGAGATGAGAAATTTTTACATTCCTTCTTCGTAATTGTGGTCGGCACCGGAATTTCTGTATTTAACTAAATAGAGTGTCTGTATGTAATATTAGGATTATTCTCAGATTAGGATTAAAACTGAGTCATAGGGTACCCCGAGCACGTACCGCCTGTTGTACAGACAGGTGTTTTATTAACCCTTTCCTTCACCTGTTGTCAAGTGACCTAAATAGCACCATTTACCCTCCCACTACACCCCTCCCTATGCATACTGACCCAGTTCTACAACCAAGAATTAGAGGAAGAAAAGTTCAGCACGCATCCTCCCCATTTTCCTGTCCTTCACACCGTATTATTGATGGGGAGGATGAAATTATACATTTAAGTTGACACGTATGTCCTGGAGTCGATTTCTGACGAAAACATCATTATAAAATATCATGCAACAAATTGACAACATACAAGACGTTAGGGAAACCAATCAGATTCAATTATACAATATTTCCAGTAATCGATGTATATAGCAAACATAACTCCCGTCGTCACAACACAGGAATTTCAGTGATGTAATCGCACTAAAGGATGCAGCGCCGACAAAATTCCGTGCACATTTAGCTCTTTTTCTTCATCAAGATAACGGAACTCTCCCGGATTCTTATGCTTCAATTGATAGAGGATAATACAAGGAATTTCCTAATTTCGTAAATATTTCAAGAGAAAAAAGGAGCCCTACTGATACAATATGTAGATCTGTGACCTTAAACATATTAAAAGTGGTATGCCCAAACAATAAATGGATCAATTATGACATGTTTCATACAGCAAAAGACAAGCAAAATGAAAAATACTGACAATATAATGCTGTAAGATATGTATATTCAACTCTGGCTCCGGAGCCATAAAACTGAGACGAGCTAACTTTTGATCTTAGTCTCACTTAACAAAAGGAATATATAGTGGAAAAGTGAGACTAAGATCAAAAGTGAGCTCGTCTCAGTTTTATGGCCCCGGAGCCTGGTGTGTTTTAACCACATAGAAAACACGCACCAGGGTAATTTGAATTTGAACATGAGATAAAAATTACTTACATTTTGCGCCGGCGATCCACACTTATTGCATCCTTCTTGTCTCTCCTGTTCCTCTTTAATTTTTCCAATAATAAAATCACTGAAGTCAAAATGAGATTTTTGTTGTCGGCTGCTGGTTTTAACGAAGTTTACACTACTTAGAATCATCTTGTCGTCTGATATCGACCTCGTGCGGTCTCGTCTGTTTCATTGAATGAAAGAACCCACGCCGATTGCAGTATATGACTTCGTACTAAAAATAATCCACCAATCGTGTTATAGCGGAGTCAATACATGGGAAACTACCGGGTCACGTGTCCTCGAGGTTACGTTCATTGCATATTTGTAGTAAGATGCGGTTTTTTAAACGTATCAGTCCCGATTAAAAGATTTAACGTGTCTACAAGAATTAATCGGCGGAAACTGTCTAACAAGACGACCAATATGACGTTAGATTAGGGATTAACTGAAGGGTGACCGCGTGCTGGACTTTTATCTTAACTTTTCATTGAATAAAAACATACACTTCTTAAAAGGTGAACTTTTAGGATTAATTGACTCTAACAATATGTGATAAACAACATTTCAACTGTGCTCTAGTGGTCGTTGTCTCAGTGCCATGTTATCCTGTAATTTCTTTATGTCAAAGATATTTTTAATTATTTTTTTTTACTATTATTTATATTAATTTTTGTATGAGTCTGGTAAATATAAATGATCAAACATTTTTAGTTTTAAATTGAAATGAAGAAAATGGGAATAATATGTTGAAAAGAAAGACATATTTGAGGTGGCAAAATACAAAGTCCACAAGTTCTTTAGGCATCAAGATAATCATCAAAGAAGAAAGTATTCCCATCTAAATTATGCTGGATATAAGGTTAAAAAAATTCTACCCATCTCGATATTTCTCTGAGTTACGCGTTCATAAAGAAAGTGTTTAAATTTTTATGCATATGTCAAGATAAAGAACAACAAGAAAATGAAACCAAATTATTTTGATGAATTTTATATAAAAATATGAATAAAATAATAACTTACAGATGTCCTGAGTGACATACCCTCAAGACATTCCGAAGTTTTTTTTTATAAAGAAAATCGATTTGTTGTTTTAAAAAAATATCTATGTTAAACCGACTACTTGATGTGAGAACCTTCACTGTTTCAACCACCACAATTTCCTATCTGTAAAGTTATAACCAGGAGGGTAGGCCGGGCTCGGTTAAATGACTGTTTTACAGGTGCTTTTCACTTAAGCTTGCTTAATTTTAAATTTTATCTTTTTGAAAGAAAATGAAATAAATAGGTCAAATTGATATATGTACACCTTAATTTTTTTTTCAATTATTAAAGAAGATACTTTCCCATAAAATGATGGTCTGTTAAATTTCAAGGACTCTTCCCTAAATGATCTTCTTAAAACATTTAATATTAATAAGTGCAATACTGTTATACACCAGTAAACCTGTGGCGACATTTTTTTTTTTAGAAGATTAAGTTTTAATAACAAGTACTCTAGAAAATCTTTTCATGGGTTCGGTTAAGGGCCAACGGGTAAATATGAACGATCATCTATAAATGATACTTTGAATGTGCTCTCAAAGTTGTTAATGAATATGAAAGCGAGTAAAAACTGAATGAAAACACAGCTGAGTATTAAATGTTCATTGGATGGGATTGGTGCCCTCCAATTCGATGAAATAAGCACGACTCTGCAATATAATCTGAACTTGCGGAGGTGAAAGAGATCGAAATACCTTGAACTAATTATCACAATCGCTAGTCTCATCTTTCAATCGCCAGTCTATTTAATAGTACTTCTGAGTACTTCTACGTTCATATTTTGCAAGGTAAAACTAAAAATGTGCAAATTGTATGAACCGTCATATTGTAAATTTTGAATTTACCAGCAAATTGTAAATTTTGTACTTACTGCCATCCGTTAAACTCAAATTTTACAATATAGAACCTTTACAAATAAATAAATATTTTATATTAATACCACCAAACCTGAAAAATACGGGGAACCTCAAATAGAAACAGATCAACTTCATAACTTGGCAATTTTCGTATTCATTAGCAATGTAGATATTTTTTATAAATGGTAATTCGTAATATTTTTGCAATAAATAATGGAAATAGTAGTCTACTAATCAGATTTCAAATTCTTGGCGTGTTTTTGCACCGAGAAACAATTGTTCAGATGACCGACTTCTGCTGATATCTAACAGGTAGAGAATGACACTGTATGCCGACACACCGGGAATATTTTGTGTATTGTAGCCTGCAGACGTTCCTGTAATCCACATACTGATCTTCTCAGATAAATAATATGCTTTAAAAGTATAAACAACATTAGTGGTGTGAACGAACATCACTCAAAAACCACAAGATTCTGAAATTTCTTAAACCTATGACCTCTTTTGAATGCATATATATAGTGCTTTCTAATATAATTTTAGTTTATTAAGCAATGCTCGGCACAATGTATAAAAAAAACAGGTTTGGCCCCTGAGATATATAATTCATAGCTTTTATTCGCCGCGGAATCAAATTCTAGTAATAATTAAACCCAGATCGATTTGATAGTGAATGAAAATTATCCTGCAGGAGACCAGTATGAGGATTGGTCCTTAAAACTTTTTCTGCATTCCTTTTATCCCCTGGCTGCAAAGAATGGAATTTCTCGCGTGAGTAAATTCTGAAAATTTAAATGAGTTCTTATTAAGTCTATATGTAGCACACATGCATAAGATTTTCAAAATTATAATCCTCTTGTCAAAAGAATGCATGATGTTTAACATAAGATTTGAAACACTTGCTCATTGAAGTCTGGAGATTACAGAAAACTTTATACTTTCGCCTGTCCATTGGAATACTCGTATATTCTGAAAATCGTTGACAGAGGAATAAGAATTTCAGTTAAAATATAACAGTGAACCATACATGTCCTTAGAATTTATTTTAATTTTAATATAATACCAGGTGTTTAAAAAAATCGGAATAATTAACTTAGATTGATAAAAAAAAAAACTATGAATATACAATCTTATTTAAACATTTTATTTGCAAAAGTTTATGGGACTGGGCAGAAGACACAGCCTATGTTAGATCTCTCCCTTCATATTATTACAAAATACATGTCCCATCAACACAGAGTGGGTAAGTGCTGTAGGTGCAAACCCTGTCACAGGCCCGTAGGAAGCAATTAAAGGTTTTTTTTGTTTTGTTTTGTTTTTGTTTTTGTTTTTTTTTTGTTTTTTTTTTTTTTTATTTTTGATTTTTTTTGGGGGGGGGGGCACGACCAAACATTTTCATTTGGGGAGGAGGGGTGGTGGTAATACCAAACCAAAAAGTCATCAGACGTTATTATTGACTGTGCGCATCCATAAAGTAGCTTTCGTTTCTATAGTATACTATATAGCTGCAAATCTACTGGACTGCCCCCCCCCCCCACTCGGTTCCTACAGCATCTACACAGTCAAAAATGTATATTCTCCTCTTCTCTTTCTTGAACAAGTTATGAGACCTTGGTTTACTTTGCGAAACACATTTTTGTTAACGGATTCCTCAAGTAAAGGGTTTGTTCTCGAAGTGAATGACATTTAAATCGTAAAAATGTGATATTCATCAGAGCAACCGATTGATCGATATTCTAGAAATAAACAGGATGTGGACTTTCCCGCACATAAAAGGAAATATTGATATTCATCGATATTTTTTATAGATCATATCAAAAGCACGCGAATATCTACAATTACACCACTTTCTTCCTATACTTTATAGATATGTTAACTTTTAAAAGTGTTTCAATATTTTCAAAACAGGATACATAATTTGAATCTTTTTATTTCAGTGCAAGCACATCTATTTTGCTAGAAAAAAAAATGATGTTTTGGCAATAAAGCTTTTGTTTTATGAAAATAAACTCAATTATAGGCTTCAAACTTGATTGGACCGTCCCTACCAAGTCCTTTGGATGAAACCGTATAAAGCGAGGTCCCGTAATCGTACATGCAGTAGGTGCAGGCACGAAAGTACCTAGTTAAACTTTAAATGAAATATATGGAGATAACGAACAATATTCAAGTTCAAAAGTCCATTAAACAATACAAAATAGGAGCAGAGCAAACACGGACCACCAAAACATCAGAGGTGGGATCAGGTGCCATGGAGGAGTGAGCATCCCCTGCCGACTGGTCACACCTGCCGTGTGCTCCTTGTCATGATCGAGAAATAACGGAAAAATCAGTGTGTAAATAATGGCCTAACAATTAGTAAGAAAAACGTCAGTCAGCATTTGACTCAATGATAAATTGTATTTGCTGACAAGGTCATTGTATCGACCATAGAACTTACGAAATGATGACTGCTGATATTCTTGTTTCATCAACTTGTTTGTCAGTAATTTACCTCGTTTTAAAAATTGTACATACGTAGAGCATGCTCTTGCGTGTCGGATCAACTGAGAGATATAAACCCCGTATGCAGGTGATGAAGAAATACTGCTGCTTAAGTAAGGGAAGTTGACGATTTAAAAGTTAAAGTCATCACGTTTATCATAAAGCTTGGTTGTTAGATTACCATTAACGTTTTTTTTCAAGTAAAATATCCAAATATGAAACAGACGTGTCAGACTCTGTAGCATTCTACCAGCAAATGGTGGCGTCCCAATGGTGAAAAATAATTCTCAAAGGTAACGTAAAGCAAGCAAACATACAAGTGCAATCCATATTCTACTACACACCGACTAAATATAGTGTTCCGATGGGCCATTCGCATCTTCTTCTCTCTAGCACCTTTAGAGCAACGCTCCGAAAGTGCTAAAATTCGAGGGCAGAGATGCGAAGGCGAAAGTCCAAATAATACCAATATCGCTCTTCTGCACCTTCGACTTCGATACTTCGTACTTTTGCATATTCGCCTTAAAGGCAAGGGTGCGATTGACCCCGCCTTAACACTGCAACAAACAGAATCCTACCTCAAAACAGGTAACTTACAAAACTGTATATAGCAAAAAAAAGTTGGAATGATTTGTTATTGTATGTGTCGTTTCCCGATTTTTTATTTGAAAATTAAAAAAATAAGTATACGACTTTAGTGTCATATACAAATTTGAATTGAACAAGATGTGTTTGTGAAACACTGATGCCCCCGTATGGCAGCTTATGGCGAAGGTTAAAGTTTCTCAAATGCAAGTCAAAATCCAGGCCAAAAGATAAAAAATGTTAAATTTGAAA